CAGAGCCCACCCTGCAGCTGGGAATGCGCCAGAAGCATTTACGAGCGTTATTAAAGAGCGGGTTATTTTTGGAGGAGCCAGGATCTGAAGGGTTTGCATTTTTTTGCCTGTGGAATACAGTTTATTTAGAGAAGAAAGACGGAGAGGGGCAGCGGGCTGCCCACGCACCCTGTGTCACCTTTAAATGCCACCCTACGGGCTGTCCGTGTGCCAGGTGTCCCTGTGGGTGCCAGGGACGATGGCAGCAGGGTGCAAGGCAGTGGGGAGGTGGGTGCCAGGGAGCCTGGGTGGACCTGGGGCCCTCCTGCCCCGCTGTGACGCAGGAGCTGGATGGGAAGGTCAGAGGCTCCACTTGCTTCTCTCCCCGGGGGATTTTCCCCATGTGGGTGGTGCCAGCCCATGGTGTACCCCAGTGCAGTCACAGCCCAGGGGTGTCCCTGAGTGCAACCACAGCCTGTGGGTGTCTGCAGTGCCCACCTGTAACATCCCTGACTGCAGTCACAGCGTATGGGTGTCCCCAGCTGTAACCACAGCCCGTGGGTGCCCCTGAGCACAATCACAGACTGAGAGTGTCCCCAGGAGTTCAGCGCCAGCCCATGGGTGTCCCCAAGTGCCGTGCCAGCCCCTGAGGTGCCTGAACCCCACAAACAGGGGGGCTCAGGCCTCAGGGTGCAGTGGCAGGGCATGGGGGGACAGCTTTGGCCAGAGCAGAGGCAGGTCTCAGGCCCTGGGGGTGGGTGTCCCTGGGGCACAGTGACAGCAGACTGCCAGTACATGCAGCCCCCAAACACAGGGCCAGGCACAACGTTTTCCCCATGGTGGTGAGAGGTCACAGGGGGTCCCCTCCAGCCCAGCGTCATCACAGAAGTGCCAACAGAAATGCCCCCACTGCAGTGCTCTGGGGCATCCCTAGCATGGTGCCACTGGGTTGCCTCTCCTGCAATACCCCTGAGGTGCCCCTAGCATGGTGTCACTGGTCTGTCCCTAGTCCAGTGCCCCCAGGGTACCTCTAGCATAGTGTCACTGGAGAGTCCCTTGCCCAGTGCCACCAGGGTATCCCTAATGCAGTACCCTGGGGTGCTCATAGCACAGTGCCACCAGGGTATCCCTAATGCAGTGTCCCCACCAGAGTGCCACTAGCATAGTGCCATCGGGGCCCCCCTAGTGCGATGTCCTGGGTGTCCTTCTCACAGTGGCCCCGAGTGTCCCTCACCCAAGGGTGTCCCTCACCCGGTACCACCAGGGTACCCCTAGAGCAGTGTCCCAGGGTGTCCCTGTCAGCAGTTCCCCAGGGTGTCCCTTAGGCAGTGCCCCCGGGGTGTCTGTCCCTAGAGGTTTGCCCCACTGCCCGGTCCCCCTTCGAGCAGTGCCCCGGGCTGTCCCTCGCCCGGCGGTGCCGTCGGGGTGTCCCTCGCCCGGTGGTGCCGTCGGGCTGTCCCTCTCCCAGGGCCCCCGTGGATGCCCGACCCCGGGGCTGCGACGGTGCCAGCCGGGGATGCTGCCCCCCCCCCGCCGCCCAGCGCCCCGCCGCCACCATGGAAGCCATCAAGAAGAAGATGCAGATGCTGAAACTGGACAAGGAGAACGCCATCGACCGCGCCGAGCAGGCGGAGGCCGACAAGAAGCAGGCGGAGGACCGCTGCAAGCAGGTGGGTGTCCCACGGACCGCCCCCCCCACCCGGCATTGCCCGGGGACCCCTGCCTTAAGGGTCTTAAGCCCCTTGAACCCTGTCCCGCTAGGGGTCCAGCCTGGGGACCCTCTGCCCTGGGGGTGTTTGGCCCCGGGGACCCAATCTCACTGGGTGTCCAGCCTGGGGACCCTCTGCCCTAGGGGTGTCTGGCCCCAGGGATCCAATCCCACTGGGTGTCCAGCCTGGGGACCCTCCGTTTTAGGGGTGTGCATCCCGGGGACCCAATCCCACTGGGTGTCCAGCCTGGGGACCCTCCGTTTTAGGGGTGTGCATCCCGGGGACCCAATCCCACTGGGTGTCCAGCCTGGGGACCCTCCGTTTTAGGGGTGTGCATCCCGGGGACCCCATCCCACTGGGTGTCCAGCCTGGGGACCCTTCACCCTAGGGGTGTCCTGCCCCAGGGACCCCATCCCACTGGGTGTCCAGCCTGGGGACCCTCCGTTTTAGGGGTGTACACCACCGGGGACCCTGTCCCACTGGGTGTCCAGCCTGGGGACCCTTCACCCTAGGGGTGTCCAGCCCTGAGGACCTTGTCCTACTGGGTGTCCTGCTTGTGGATCCCAGCCCTAGGGATGCCCAGCCCTTGAGACCTCATCCCATTGGGTCCCCCTCCCCCTGGGAACCTCACACTGCTGTGTGCCAATTTCTGGGGACCACTGTGTGCCAATTCCTGGGGACCTCACCCTGCTGTCCAGCCTGTTGCCCCTGACCACTTACGCTGTTCCCCTCAAATACCCTTTATGTCCATGGGACACCTTTGCCAGGGAGACTCTTGGGGACAATGTAATCCCACCCTGGGGACCTCCTCGGCACCCTGCAGAGCAGATCCCTTAGGTCAGGACCCCTCTGGTCACCTGCATGGGGAGGGAGCCCACCACCCCTTTACTCCCAGTGGGCTCAGGGATTCTGAGGGTGCTCCAGCCTTGGAGACCAAGGGCTCCCCAAGGAACTGTGACCCCAAAGTTGACAGGAAGGGTGTCCGTGTGCTCCTGCTGTGCCTTGAGCCTGGGTCTCCCCAGGAGAAGGATGGCCATGTCCTCCCAGCCTTGTGGGCACCACCATCCCCCCTGACCCCCGCCCTCTGTCCCTTCCCCAGCTGGAGGAAGAACAGCAGGGCCTGCAGAAGAAGCTGAAGGGCACGGAAGATGAGGTGGAGAAGTACTCCGAGTCTGTCAAGGAGGCCCAGGAGAAGCTGGAGCAGGCGGAGAAGAAAGCTACAGACGTACGTAGGCACGCCAGCAACTCCTCCTCTGCGCGGGCGCCGGACCTCGGAGCGGGGGGGTGGTGAAGGAAGAGGGGGGCCTTATATGGAAAGCATCCGTGGGGAAGATTGTCAGGATCCCATTCCTGTGATGCTGACACTGAACCAGGCTGAGATGCAGGGCAGGGACAGGACGGATCCTCTTTGGGGTGTAGGGACCAGGCCCATTGCAGAGGGCACCGTTTGGGTGGCCGGTCCTGCCTGGAGCTTTGTGGGCAGCCACCTGCCTGGCTCCCCAATGCTAATGGGGACGAGTGTCCCCAGCTGCGTCACTGGTCCCCAGCCACACGCCTCCACAGTGCTTGTAGGAAAAACTCTGTAGTACTTGCTAAACTGTGGCAGTAAAGTGAAAAAGAGCAGAAAAATGGAAAAAGCTCTTGCTCGTGGCCACCTGCCACGTGCTGGCTGCAAGGAAGGGTGCTTGGTGTGCATGGGGAGGGACTTGGTCATTTTGGGGTTCCAATGTGCCAACCTGTGTCCTAGGAAGGGAAAAGCCAGGAAGAGTTTTATTTAGTGCCGTGACTGATGTGTCTCCTGGGAAATGGATCCCGGTGGGGAGATGTTAGGAAGGTGTTGAAATTGGCTTGTGCCCGGCCAGGATGAAGGGTGGAACAGCTGTGTGTGGCCACGGAGCCGCTTGGGGACGGGGTATAACGACCTGCGGTGCCACACAGGGTATTTGACACCCTATAAATAAATCCTCCTTTTGATAGCCAGTCCTTCTTTGATGAAAACCAACCCTGGAAACTAGAGGAGAAGCTAAAGGGGAGCCGGCTGGAGCACGGCCAGCAGGGCACAGCCTGGCTTTTTGGGATTGAGAATAAGAAAATCCAATCCCAGCTGGTTTATGGAGCTAAATGGGGGAGATGCGTCAAATCTCTGAGGTGGGTGCCAAGGACAGAGGTGAGCAGACAAGGACGAGCAGTGGCAGCACAAGTCCCTGGCATGGCCCAGTGTTGTTTGCTGACCCTATCAGTGAGATACTAAACCAAGCAGTTTAAAACATTGAAAATCCTCTGGAAGGGCACATTTATCCTGGCATGGGGCAGGCACGTTGAGCCAGGCAGGGCAGCTGCCATGTGCAGCAAGGTCCATACTGGTCTGACTGGATCCACGCTGGTGCAGGACAGGGCAAACTCAGTGTGGGGACTGGCTGAGCGTGGATGGGACATGCCCAATGTGGGACTCAGAGGAAGGTGCAAATGGTGGTGCTGGGCAGACGTCGGCTATGGGTACAGGCAGACGTTGGCTATGGGTACGGAGTGGTTTGCTGCTGTCAGGGGGCTGTGTGATACCACACTAGGCAGGGGGGATGCCTATCCCCACTCGTGGTCCACAACAGCCTGGCCAGCCTGCAGGCTTCAGCGTGGAGGATCCTGTCCCAGCAGATATGAGGAACAGAGCCACGGACCCCTCCAGGGAAGGGTTGGAGGGGAGACCACGGTGAAGGAGCAGCATCAGGGAGAGCAGGCTGGCTGTGAGGGTGCCACAGGCAGGCTGGGAGCCCAACATCAGCATGGTGGTCCTGGGTCCATGCTGAAGCCTGGATGGGCTGTGCCATGTGTGGGGCTGTGGGAGCCACCAGGTCCCCGCGCCAGGGACCCGAGTGTGCTGACAGCACTAAGTGCCAGACTGGTGTCACCTCCTCCACGGGGTGACAGGCAGTGCAGCTCCCAGCTCCAGTGAAAGAAGCGTGGAGTAGAGCCCACCCAGCTCTCTGGGGACCCCGGTGCCACCCTTGGTGGCCAAGACAGCGTGTGCCTGTGGGCACAGTGTGTCCCCGTCCCTCCCTCAGGTTAGGGCCCATCACAGCAATCCAGGCAGTCTCCTGCCCTTGAACAAATGCTTTAAAAGCATAAATTTCCCCCTGCTTTGGTACTGCCCTGCCTCTGGCACTGGTTGGCAGTGCGCAAAGACTGCGGGGGCTGCACTAAGGGGTACAAATGCAACACCCCCAGGCACTTGGAGGGGGGTCCGATGGTGGCACTGACCCCTGATCAGCAGCTCCACACGCGTGGCGGCCCCTTCCCTGCAGCTCTGCCGGGCCACCATGGCCCCACCACCCCCTTGCCCCCCCAAGGAGGGTCAGTGCGTGGTGGCCAGGGCAGGATGTGTGCAGGGGCTGCTGGGCACACAGCCCCCTCCAGCCCCTTGTGTCCCCAGCTGGTGACCTGTCCCTGGCCACTCCAGCAGGGCCCAGGGAAAACTCCGACGTTCCCAGGCCACGATCCCGAAGGCTTCACCCAAGTTCCCGCCCCAGTCGCTCTCCCCAGCCGAGACTTTGCTCTTATTTGGCGATTCCCCGAGCCGGTGGGAGGGAACGGGGCTCTGCTGGGAAGTGACTGCATCCCTGGGTGGGGCCAGAGCAGGAGGCACCCAGCCCGGCCGCCGCTGGACTGGGGGTGGCTGCCCCCCAACTCTGCCCCCCAACCTGCCTCCTGCCAGCCTGCAGCCCGCTCATCCCTGCCCCATTGCTGTCAGAGCCCCCCGATTCTGCTCGGGGCTCCATGTGCCAGCTTGGGAGCGCTCTTGGCACCCAGGCGTCGTGTCGGGAGCCGGGCAGGACCAGCCGGGACTGAAGCCAAGCCCCCCCAGGCCATGTGCTCCCCGGGGACCCGCAGCGCCGCCTCTTCCACCGATGTTTGGCAAAGCGATGCAAGGCTGCAGGGCGCTGCCACCAGGTTGCCCCCCACCCAGGACCACTGGCCCTGGAGCTGAGGGCAGCCAGTGGGGTCATATCCTGGGCATCCCTGGAGGCAGGTGTGAAGTGCAGCCGGGGCTGCCCGGGAGCTGTCAGAGCTCCTTAAGGGAGGATTGAGTGTCACCAGCACCAGCCTCTCCTGATGGATCAGGGCAAGTGCCCTGGCCAGGGTGCAGATCTGGGAGCTGGGAACTGGCCTACTCCATGGGGCAGAGCCCCCACGGCAGCTTGGGACTGCGGGGGGCTCTGTTGGCCCCATGGGTCCCTATGGGGCTGCTGGCCAGGTCCTCACTTGGGGCAGCAGATGCCATGGGGCTGAGAAGGATGGCCACTGGGGACCTTGCTGTGCCCTGGGCATCTAGCCCCATGTTCCCTAGGGGGACAACTGGGAGGGAGCTCTGCCCCATGTCCCTCATGCCTTTCATTGCCTTACCTATGACCCCTATGGGGCAAAAGTCCCAAAAAAGGGGGTGTGGGAGGCAGAGCTTGGGGGGCACTCATGGTTACACCGCTCCTGTGCCCATGGGGGCTCACATGGACCAGGCTCTGGCACTCCCAGACTCCCTGAGCCCCTTTTCTCCCCAGAGAAATGGACTTCCTGGGCTCCTCTCTGTCACTCTGGGGGATTTTGGTGGGACTGTCCACCCCTGCCTGAGGGGCACCATGTGCCCTGCCTTGGGGGGGACTGTGTTCCAGTACTGCAGACCCTGTCTGCTGGTACCATGCGCCCTGGCAATGAGGACTGTGGATCTGCCTGAGAGGGGAGGGGGGCACCAGGCAGGCACCCTGCCTGGGGTGGGGGGCACGGTGTGCCCAGCCTAGAAGTCTTGTTTTGAGGAGGGCTAGGGACAGAGATCCCTGCTTGGGGAAGACCATGCGTCCTGCCCGGGGTGGGGAGCACCCAATTTGAGTTGGGGGACACCGCTGTGAACACAACTCCAGCTGATGGGGTGGAGGGGGGGGTGGACTGTCCCCCTCCGGGGGTGGGCACCGAGTGGGGTGTGTGTGTCTGTGTGTGCGCTGCCCGGAGGGAGCGGCGGCCGCAGGAGGAGGAAGAGGAGGAGGAGGAGGAGGAGGAGCAGGAAGGGATGGAGGCAGGGCGGGCGGCGGGAGCGGCCGCTGCCTGAGCGCTTCCTGCCCGAGCCGGGCGGATCCCACAAAGGGCTCGGCGGCTCGGCCTCCCCGCCGGCAGCCCCCCCCCCCTCCCCATCCCCGCCATGGCCGGCATCAGCTCCATCGACGCCGTCAAGAAGAAGATCCAGAGCCTGCAGCAGGTGGCCGACGAGGCGGAGGAGCGCGCCGAGCACCTGCAGCGGGAGGCCGATGCCGAGCGGCAGGCCCGGGAGCGGGTAAGGGCCGCCGGGGAGGGGGGAGGTGTGTGGAGGGATGTGGGTGAGCTCCCCGGCAGCTGCCCGGGATGCCCCACCGGCTCCGGACCCGCCGCCGGCATAGTTGGCTAGCCCCGGCCACCCCCCCGTCGCCCCTCGCCCCGGTAGCCAGGCTGGCTGCCTCCCCCGGGGGCCATCGCGGTGTTGCTGCAGAGCCACCGGGGTGGGGGGCTTCGGGCAGCGTCCCTGCCTCCTCCTCCTCCTCCTCCTCCTCCTCCGGATTGCCTCCTGCCGCCGCCTCCTCCTCCCTGGGTCTTGTGAGGGATGCTCGGTGCGGCGGGGGCTCCCCAGGGCTTCCCCGGCGGTCAGGGCACGGGAAGACGGTCAGCGGCCACCTCTGCCCCGGCTCTGCTGGGGGTCGGTCAGATAGATCCTGGGAAAAGATCCCCTCCCTCGGAGGCTGGCCGTGAACATGGCTAAAAATCCCACGCCCAGGCTCTTGTCTTGCTTCCAGCAGGCTCTGTGGTCTTTGCCACAGGGTCCTCGGCTCTCCAGTGTGTCCCTTCGCAGGGACAAGGCACCCATTTGCATTTTCACTGGCCAACATTTCCATTCTGTGGCAGCGGGACAGCATTTCCAGGCTGCAGCTTGTTCCTGGTTTGGCTTTTTTTATTGTTGGGGCTGGTGGTTCGTTGTTTGTTTTTTTGTTTTTTTTTCTTCTTTCTTTCTTTTTCCTATGCCCACTCCTTTAACATCCTCACCATATCAGGAGCGGCAGAGCTGGGTGCGGTACCCGGGCTGTTGTCACTCGGGCTGTGTGTGGAGGAAATGGCCCCTTCCTGCAGCCACAGATCGGGTTCCACGGTCACTGGGCGCTGCTTGGAGAGCTCATGTTCCCAAGTGTCCATCCGGGCAGCTCTGACCCACTTTGGGGGTGATTCCCTGGGAGAAAAAAAAAAAAAAAAATCTGATGAGGTGAGGCAGATGCCACAGGCAGAGCATCATCCCATAGGAGCCAGCCCCAGCTCTCCGCTGGGTGACTTGGCTGGGGAAAAGCTCTTGGTGAGCCTGGAAAGAGGGAGTTCAGGGGGTGGAGGTGGCTGCTGGGCCGGCCGTGGGGGCCCTCCCGACATGCCACCAGGCTGCCCTGCTCAGAGAGGTGATGGCTGTGACCCTGTGGGATCACCACGGGGGTCTGTGGGCACTTAGTGGGGCCAAGCAGGGTGTCAGCCCCTCGCTGCTCCCATGGTCGCCCTGCTTGGCCGGTGTCCCCCGGGGCATTCCCGGCGCTGGAGCAGGAGGCCAGGTGCTGCAGCCAGCCAGGCCTGCTCCAGCCTGTGAATAAGCAGGAGACATTATCCCCCAGGTTGGTACATGCTTCCCTGTGCCTCGGGGCACGGGGCTGCTCCCCGCAGTGGGGTCTCATGGCTGCCTGTCCCTTCGCACCCGATGCTCGTCTTCCCCACAGCCCCCCGTTGCCCCAGCGGGGAGCGGGGCTGGGAGCTGCTGAGGCAGCGATTCCCGGCGGTGGCGATGGGAGCAGGAGGCCTTTACCAAATGGAAAGAGCACGGGGCCAGGCGTCGAGGGGCTGGCGGAGGGCCAGGGCCATTGCTCCCGGCCGGCCCCGGCTCCCAGCCCTGCGTGAGGAGAGCCAGGGAAAGCAGGGGGCCCCGGTCCCATGGGCCCCGGCGGCCGCAGCTTGGCCGGGCACCAGCCCGCCGAGGGCGACTCGCTCCATTGCCCCTGGCACTCTGCTCTGCATCGTCTCGGGGTGGGAGAAGGGGCTGTGCTGGGCTTCAGGCTGCCCTGTTGCGCAGGGACGGGGGCTTCCCACAGGAGAGGATCCCGCCTCGCTCGCTCCGCCGCCTCCGTAAACAGGAAATCCACAAGCGGCTCCGATCTCCTTTTCGGGAGCGAAGCTGCACAGGGCATTCCTCCCTCTTTACTCACTGCTCTGCAAACCCCAAATACCATCCCCCTGACGGCACGGCTGCACCAGTGAACACACCTTGTCCCTCTCTGGGGTGGGAGCTGGAGGTGCGAGGACACAGTGGAGGGGCTGCACGTGACGGGCTGGGGTTGTGTGACCAGGAGGACCCAGCGTCAAACTGGGCACTAGGGATGGAGAAAACTCTGTTGTCCGTAGAGAAAGGTGAGGATGCGTTGTTGGGCATCCCATTCCAGGGAGCGCCGGCTTGTTGCACGGTGCAAAGGAGTGTTGTGGACAGTGAATGTAGAAGTAACCCCTGAAAATGCTTCTTTTAATACATATATATATATATAAAAGACATGATTTGACCAAGGGGTTTCTGCTCCCCCAGGCTGAGGCTGAAGTGGCTTCTCTGAACCGCCGTATCCAGCTGGTGGAGGAGGAGTTGGACAGAGCCCAGGAGCGCCTGGCCACCGCCCTGCAGAAGCTGGAGGAGGCTGAGAAGGCGGCTGATGAGAGCGAGAGGTGTGATGGGGAGGGACAGCGGGGGCGGCATCAGGTCACCACTTATTGTAGGCAGCACCCTTGGTTTCACCATGGGGTCCCTCTGAAGTGACCCTATGAGGTTTGCGTTGGTTCTCTTGCGGGGTCACCACTGATTGCAGGCGGCACCCTTGGTTTCACCATGGGGTCCCTCTGAAGTGACCCTATGAGGTTTGCGTTGGTTCTCTTGCACACCCGAAAGGGAGAGAGCAAAGCCACAGTGCAGAGAAGTCCCCCAGATCCGGGTGTTCTTAAAAAGGCTTTCAAATTTCTAGGGCACCCATAAAATCCTGAAAAATTTGATGTGGTGCTTTTACGAATATCAGGTTGTAACCAAGGCAGAGGGTGCTTGGAGCCTGTTTTCTGCCCCACAGCAGCTTCTTACATTCAAGGGCTGAACAGCAGCCCAGGAGGGGACATCTCTGCCTGGGAACTAAGGTCAGCTTTTGAGAACGAACCAGCCTCATTCCAAAAAAGTCCTGCAAACTGTGTTGCCCCATCCTCGTAATTTGATGTGGTGCTTATACGAATATCAGGTTGTAACCAAGGCAGAGGGTGCTTGGAGCCTGTTTTCTGCCCCAGAGCAGCTTCTTACATTCAAGGGCTGAACAACAGCCCAGGAGGGGACATCTCTGCCTGGGAACTAAGGTCAGCTTTTGAGAACGAACCAGCCTCATTCCAAAAAAGTCCTGCAAACTGTGTTGCCCCATCCTCGTGGCAAGCAGGTTTCCTGGGCAGAAACCGTATGGGTGAGAGCGCTCAGGTTGTATGGGAGTGCCCAGACATGTCACAGCGTTCCTGACAGTTACGTGAGCTCTTCTCTCCATTGGCAAAGACCAGTTTGGGCAACAACATCTGGGTGACAAGAGGAGAGTCTGCAGGAGTCCCTGCCATGGGGTTTTGGTGACCCCCTGCTTGTGAGCATCACCCCTGAATGAGAAAAGGCTTTGCCAGCGGATGTTTTCTAGCATTTCCCAAAGCTTGCTGGCCCATCAGGCTGCTTTTGTGGAGGTTATGTCTGGTTCATCCTGGGCTGCACGAATTTTTCCCTCCAAATGATCTGTTCAGGACCTGCCTGGTTGAGAGGCACCATAGCCATGTTTTCCCACTCTGGAACATAGTCCTGGAGCCAGCAGCAGCATCCTTGGGGTACCACTGGTGTGACCCGACTGCATGGGGTGGCCAGCAAGTGCCAGCATCCCCATGCAACATTCCATGTCTCTGGTGCTGAAGGATGGCAGGGCTAGGCTACAGAGGGCAAGCAGAAGGTGCAGGTGCCACCTTGACCCACAGCAATAACATCCTCTGGCTTGGGCTTTTTTCAGAGGCATGAAGGTCATCGAAAACAGTTAGGGTACAGAGGGCAAGCAGAAGGACCCACAGCAGTAACATCCTCTGGCTTGGGCTCTTTTCAGAGGCATGAAGGTCATCGAAAACAGGGCCATGAAGGATGAGGAGAAGATGGAGCTCCAGGAAATGCAGCTGAAGGAGGCAAAGCACATAGCGGAGGAGGCTGACCGCAAATATGAGGAGGTGTGTATTCTTCCTTCTCCCAGTCCTGACCCCCCACCAGCATGCAGGGCAGCCTCCTTGCAGCCTTGTGCCCTCAATTGGGGTAAGAGCAGGGCAAATGCATGCTTCTTGCTGCTGTCAACAGGTCGCCCGCAAGCTGGTCGTCCTTGAGGGAGAGCTGGAGCGCTCGGAGGAGAGGGCAGAAGTGGCGGAGAGGTGAGCGGGGCTCCTGGTGGGCACCACACGGGGGTCCAACGCAGCCTTTGCCCCAGGTCCCTGGCAGCCGTGGGGACAGTGATGTCTGTGTGGGCGTGGGGATGTCCCTCTCTGGGAACGTCACAGTCTTCCATCAGGGTGGTCCCTGGGCTCGCAGGCTGGGGGCAGGGGGATGCCAACCTGCTGCTGGCAGCACATCCTTGACCCTGTTCTCTGCTGTCCCCTTGCCGGGGTGCCCCCTCTTCCACCCCAGCCGAGTGAGACAGTTGGAAGAAGAGCTGCGGACCATGGACCAGACTCTCAAATCCCTCATTGCCTCAGAGGAAGAGGTACTGGGGCAGGGGCACGGGGCGACGCGCAGCAGCCCCCCCTCTCTCTGTCGCTGTCTCTCAAACCGTGCGAGCCACCACCTCTCTCCTCTCTGCACCGCTGCCTCCACCGGTGACCTCCCCTCACCTCCTCCTCCTCCAGCGGGCGCGGGCTGGGCACGCTCCTCCATCCCTCCGTGCCTGCCCTCTTTCTCAGCAGGGCTGGCAGGAGCCCAGCCGGCGGCAATGCACGGGGCGTCCGTGCGAGGAGGCACGAGGACCGGATGAACGGATGCGTGCCGGCAGCTCCCGCTCGCAGCGGCTCTGCTCCTTTTCCACCTGCACTGAGTTTTCTCCTCTCTCAACTTGTTCTCTCTCTTTCTTTCCTTCTTCCCCGTGCCCGCTCTTTCTGCTCCCCACTCTCTCCTGCCCCCACCCCGGCCCTGCTCCCCTTCCTGGCGGCCCCTGCTTGGGATGTAGTAAATGTGGTGACCTAGAGGAAGAGCTGAAAATTGTCACCAACAACTTGAAGTCCCTGGAGGCCCAGGCTGACAAGGTAGGACCCCGCGGGGCTGCTGAATGAAGCTGGGCAGAGTGCGTGGGGTCTGGGGGTGCTGGGGTCTCCTGCTGGGGTGGAAGGATGGCCGGAGGTGTCCCATGGGACTCACGGGTGCCTGTCTCTGTCTCTGCAGTATTCCACCAAGGAGGACAAGTATGAGGAGGAAATCAAGCTTCTAGGGGAAAAGCTGAAGGAGGTAAGGGGTGCGGGGCCAGCACTGCATCGGCGCAGGCATGAGTTTGCCACCCCATGAGGGTTTTGACCCCGTTACGCAGATATTCTCTCACCGTTCCCCAAATTGCAGCCCTGCAGCATGGCAGGTGCCTGGGTCTGGGATGCCCCCCCATCAGCCTGCTCTAGTTTACGGTGTGGGGGTCCGTGGGGACCTTGTCCCTTGCCTTTCCCAGGGGAGGGCTCGTGGAGGAGGGTACCAGAGATGCAGTCAGGGCAGATTTGGGGTGCGGTGCAGCCTGCACCATCCCCGCTGTGGCCCACAGCTCACCATCTCCCCGCTGCACTCCCACAGGCTGAGACCCGGGCGGAGTTTGCAGAGAGGTCTGTGGCGAAGCTGGAGAAAACCATCGACGATCTAGAAGGTAAAATGTCCCTGTTGGCCCCACGTCCCTCTTTCCTGGGGAGCACTTGCCAGGACGTGCCTCTGGTGGGGCCAGACAGGGCTTGGCCGGGGTGAGAGGGTGGGCAGGGGTCCTGGCAGCCGGGGGGGGAGGCTGGGTACCATGGTGTCTGGCACGGCAGCGCAGAGCTGCTGGGGTCTGGGGCTCTGCCCTGGGGTGGGGAGGGCCGTGTCCACGCTGCCTGTGCCCACACGCTCCTGCCGCCCTCGGCCCCACACCCCGCTCACAGCCACTCTCTCTCACTCCACCGCCTGCCCCCCACCCGTCCCGTGTCCCCCCCCACCACGCCTGCAGACGAAGTGTATGCGCAGAAGATGAAGTACAAAGCCATCAGCGAGGAGCTGGACAATGCACTTAACGACATCACTTCCCTCTGAGCCCCCCCGCCGGGCACCAGCACTGCATTTTCCATCCCCGCAAACCTTCCCCCTGGCCCCCTCATCCCCCTTCTGCCTCTCCCCGGTCCCCAGCTTGGCCGCTTGCCTGCCCGGCCACCCCACTGCTGTCCCTGCCTGCTCTGTCCTCCTCTGTCCTTCCTAGCCTGTGCCTGTCCATAGGCTCCTTTGGGACAGGAGCCAGCCCGGGGTGTTCCTGCAGCCCCCGCCCTTCTTTGGGGGAAGGTGAGGTGTAGGAGCTTAGGGGTGTTTGGCGGGGCAGGGTAGCAGCCCCTGGGGACCCTCACACACTGGGCGGACAGTGCCCGAGTGGTTGTAGGTCCCTGCCCCAGCATTACCCAGTGGGGGACAGGTCTGTGCCCAGGAGCCCTGTGCTCCAACAGCTCCCCCTCGGCTCCCCAGCAGCACAAGCACCGGGGACTCTGCAGCCCCAAGGCTGGGGGGTGGCCACCTGCCCCCCACATCCCCCCCACAGCAAAGCCCCCGCGTGCTGTTTTCTAGGCCCAGGGTGGGGAGGACCCGCACAGGGGAAGTGGCGCTTCCACCCTCAAAGCCCAGGCCCAGGGGATAGTGTTGGGTCTGGCTGTGCAGGCAGCCCTTCCCCAGTCAGGCAGGCAGGCAGGCAGCCCCCAGACCCCCCGGTTCCTCCTTCGTCCCTGCCTCCCTCCTGTCCTTTGCACATTTGCTCTTCAGTTTGCATTTCATGACTTTTTTTTTTTCTTCTATGTTCTGTCCCTCTGGGTTTACTGAGTTGGTCTCAATAAAGCGTTTTCTTTCCTTGGTTTCTTCTTCGTTTTCTTCATGCCGCTCTGTCCCTCATCTCCTGCCTGTCTCACGCCGGTACCAGCAGCGGGGTGGCAGTAGGTGGTCGCAGGCAGCTCGCAGCCGCGGGACCCCCGAGATGGTTGTGGCTGAACCCCCAAGGGGGTCCCGTGCTTCTGGGCTGAGCAGGACTTTGTGCCTCGGCCCAGGGGATGAACCCCTGCCACCCCCTGGCTCTCGTGCACAGCTTTCCTCATCTCCTGCCATCTTCTCCATGACTCTTTAGGCCTGAAATAGCACGGTTAGACCTAGTCCTGTCCATTCCTCGTCCCCGCTCCCAGACATTGCCCTCAAGCAACGATCTCAGCCCTGGCATCTCTCCTGCATTACCCTCCCTCGATGAAGGGACTGACCCTACCAACCCTTCAGCAGTGACCTTTAAATGGGTCCCTGATCATTCTCCTCCTCCTCCTTCCTCAGCATCCTACCCTGCCCCAGAACCCAATTCCCAAATTGATGGACTACAGCCTCGTGCCTGCCCTGGGACCGGCTGCCACCTCCTGCCAGTCCAGCTCATCCCTGATGCTGGCTGGGTGGTCACGGGATTTCCAGTGCGGGTTTGGGGGAATGCTGTCTCTTTTCACTAACTTGCCTTTCTCTCTCTCTCTCTTCCCTCTGCTGCGCTGACGTCTCCATTTTCTCTAGAGCGCTCCCGGCAGGAGGCTGAGAGAAACCGTGTTCTCACTAACGAGCTGCGGGTCATCCTTAATGAACTTAACAACTGAGCTGCCCAGAGTTCCCAGCCCCAGCCCAGCCTCCCTGCCCGGTTTTGGCCAGGCTGGCTCAGGGCTGGTAGCCCCTGCCCCCTCCCTGCCGGGGCTAGGAGGGGTGCAGAGCCTTGGCTTATCCTCCTGGGGGTAACTGCCCTTCTTGGGGGGGGACACAGAATGCCTCTGGAGCTGACAGTTTTTTCTTGGGAGAGGAATGAGGGTTTTTGTGATGTCTTGGGATGCTCGTGGATGGCTGTGTCCCGGCATCAGCCCCGGGGAGGGATGTGGTGGTCTGTATTGCTGCCTTCCTCCCCTCGTCCCAGGAGTCCGCGGCCAGCCTCTTCCTCCTCACTCTGCTCACCCCAAACTGTGCAGGGAATATCCCCTCAGAGCGGGGCCCCTGCAGGGCGCTGGGAGGGCTGGAATAGGAGCTGGGGACCCGGCAGTACCCACTGCCCCCTACTCGGGGCAGGGGACAGGGAAGAGCCCAGCTGGGAGTGCTGGGAGATGGGGCTGGGTGGGCAGAGCTCTCATCCCACCCCTGTCTCTAGAGGAAAGGAGGATGCCATTTGGAAGCAACCACTGGAGGAGGCTGCCTCGGCAGCGGGCTGCCTGGCAGAGCTCGTCCCTGCAGCCTCGTTAGCTCTGCTCCTTCTCTTTCTGCTGTCCTCTCTGCCCACACTCCTGGGCTGCTGTCTCACTCCTCTTCTTCACGGAGCACCGCTGGGTCAAGCAGCAGGCACTGGCTCTCCTCTTTCGCTGGCCAAGGGTTTGTGCACATCCCCACAGCTGGATGGTGGTGATGCCCCAGGACAGGACATGCTGGTGGCTGGCCAGGGAATGGTACCCATCAGTGGTACCTGCACGGCGGAGGGCCTGGTCGTGGGCAACGGGGCACCATGGGAGGATAGAAATGCTAAAGAGTGGGGACCACCTACCCCCAGTGACCAGCCTGGCTGGCCTGGCCACCCTGGCAGGTTCCATAGTGGCCAGGCTTGCCCCTGCTGGTGATGGGGCTGCTTGCGTGGACTCTGCTCCATGGGGATGCCCTGCTCAGCTGGAGGCGACTGAAATGTCCATCCGTGTGCGTGTGTCTGTGCTTGGTGCGGTGTGTGTGTGTCTGGCTGCACCTGGGTACACTTGTGGCTGTGTGCGTGGCTGGGTGTCTCTTGTATTCACAGAGAGTCTGGCCAGTGCCAAAGAGGAGAACGTGGGGATCCACCAGGTCCTGGACCAGACCTTGTTGGAGCTGAACAACCTCTGAGCTGTCCTGGGGAGCCCCCATCCCTCTTCCCTACCCCACACGTGCACCCCACTGGCACGCTCAGGATGTCATCAGCTGAATTGCGTCTTGGCCAAATCCACACATCCATTGAGAAGGGAAGCCCTGCAGCCTTACACCGTGGCTGAGGGGCATCTTGTCTGTGCACAGCCTGACTGGCTCTGTCCTGTCTTCATGTCCAAATTAAAGCAGTTTGACAAGATGGATGGGTGTGTGTAGTTCTTGTGGGCAGGGGCAGGCTCTAGGAGACATCGTGGGGATCTCTGTGCCCAGTTTGTGCAAGGAAGATCTGCAGGGACTTGGGTCCACGGCAAGTATGGCCGGCTTAAGGATGTCCTCTGTGGCAGTGGGGGGCTGGGAGCGATAGCACACACAGTTTGGGCTGCGTTCCCTCATCTCCATCACTTCCTTGGGACGCACAGGAAACCTCCGCATCTCAAGCTCAGTCCAAACTGACCATCCTCTTCAAGTGCACGGTGATTGACATATCACTGCCCTTCCACAGCCAGCATGTTACCTGCCTGGCACTTGGGGAAGCCACAAGATCTTAGACCTTTCCATGGAGTCTGCTTCATCTGCTCATGTTCATGACGCTGTCTGAGAACGCATACGTGCGTGTGACTGTGCATGCACACATTATTAGTTATCAAGGTCTTCTCCGGGTCGGTCTGGGGTTAGCTCCTTACCCTGTGTGCTAGTTGCACTTTCTATTACCAATTGCTGAATGCAATGTCCCAGAAAACACAGGGACAGCTGTGTAAACTAGCAAGTACTAATGCAGGAGGCAACCACTTCCCAAAGTGTTCAGGAAGTTTGCTCCTGGCTTGCTGTATTTTCTCCAACACGAAGAGCAGCAGGATGTGTCTCATTGCTGTCATCAAAACGGGCTGGATTTCCTGGGGATGCCCAAAGTCATGATCTAGTCCTGCCCTCCGCTTGGGGCCCCTCCATGATGGGTGCTGAGCCCTGCTGTCCCACGCTACCGGCGGATATTGCTCTAAAAGCACAGCTTCATGCTGCCAGGAAACATAATTCATACTGACCCCTCGCCGAGACGGGCCATCGCCCCAGCGAGCAGCCAGCAGGGATAGCTTTCGTTATCTACTTTCCTTTATTTGCTGCGCCTCTCAGCACAGGAAAGGAGGGTGGTAAGATTGCATCTCTTTCCTGCCCAGGTGCTACCGGCCTCCTGCCCTCCCCCTGGCCCAGCACCTCTGGTTGATGGCTCTGAGATCTTCTTCTACAGGGAAACGGTTCCCTTTGCACTGGGTGCTCAGTTTCTGGTCGTCCTCCCTGGGTGCGAGACCCACCTTAAGCCACAGCGTCCTGCCTTGGATGTGCTGGAGGGCAGGACAATGCACAGCTGCCCTGGCCTGCTGAGCCGGCCCTGCACAAGAGCTGGAGCTCCTCCTTGGGTCCATCTGGCTTTTCTGCAGCACGTCAGCTGAGCCATTCCGTTCCTTGGTCAAAGTACCTTCCAGGCAGGGGCTTGTGTGGCTGCAAAAGGAATAAGAGTGTCAAACCACCTCTTCTCCAGAAGCCTGCGCCCCGCACTGCAAACAAGCCAGCCCTGCGCTCCTATCAGGGTGCGTCCCCAGTGCCCAGCCTCTGGGCGCCCTTCGCCTTCCTGCTGGCACAAAGAGCCCTTTCACACCCAGTGTTTTTCCCCATTAGCCTGCTGCTGCCTCCTGGTTTGGACCAGTCCATTTGACTTAACCGTTTACACGCCGCTGCAAGGGGTGTCCCTCTGAACCGCCTGTGGTTTGGCAGGAGCCGCTGTTCCCAGGGGATGCTCTGTCCTAAAGACATGAATGAGCCTGCCTTTCATGGTTCAGCAAAGCTTTGCATTTTTCTAGTTCTTCCCACCCATCTCCTTCCCCCCACGGCCCTGCAGAAAGATGCAGGCCAGGGGAAGCTCTGGGAGGCCAGGGCGCTGAGGAGCTGCTGGCAGGGGAGATCAACCTGGAGGAGGCACATCTCCCCACACGCGTCACTCAGACCCACGCGGAGGACCATAGTGCCTGTCCCCTCCTCCGTCCCTCCCACTGCACCTTCCCCACTGCATTTCAACCTTTGGATTTGTTTATCTTGGCCTGACACACTGAAGATCTCCCTGAAGAGCTTTCAGCCCTGTTGTGGGGCATATCACTAAAAAGTCCCTCTCCAGATTTCTTGTAGGTCCCTTTCTGATACCAGAAGGCTGCTATAAGGTCTCCCTGGAGCATTCTCTTCTCCAGGCTGAACAACCCCAACTGTCTCAGCCTGTCCTCATAGCAGAGGTGCTCCAGCCCTCTGATCACCTTCGTGGCCTCCTCTGGACCCTTTCAACAAGTCCATGTCCTTCTTGTGCTGAGGACTCCTGCTGTGGGCTGTCACCCACTGATAAACCACTACATTAGCCTCTGGCAGCCTCTCACCTCCGCTCTCTTCTCCAGCTTTCTCATCACTCTGGTGCCTCAGCTGATCTCTGACTCCTTCCTGTTCAATACCCTTGAACTACGTGCTGGAGGGGAAGGATGACACCAAGAGCTCTGCAGAGACATTTTGATGAGATGGACACAGACCACCACCACCTCTCAGTTCCTCCCTGCATTTACAGCCCTATACATTTGGGTGAGAGCAGGAAAAGCCACCGTGCTGAGGTTTCACAGGACTCTGGGTGATTTCGGAACAAAGTCAGGCTGCCGAAGGCCAAGGGCCGCACCAAGCACTCTGTCTCCAAATCAGTGTCACTAATTCGTCAATCCCAGCAGAGGTAGCTGGAGGAAAATGCAAATGGCTATAACCACTCGGTACTGTCTCATTTCTCTATAAGTTGCATACACCTGGTATAAGCTGCATACACCTGATATGCAGCCCTTGGTAGCGCACCCCACACTGGAGCTGCGCTGCCTGAGCGGTGAGCGCAGAGCAGGCAGTGCAAGAGCGTGGGGACCCTATCCCACGTGCTCAGGAGCTGCAGGGGGTCTGGAAGCAGCACCAGAGCCCCTGTGCAGCGAGGCAGGCCTATGACGGAGTGACAGGCAGCTAGGGACCCTTAGGGACAGCCAGCACACTTCACCCAACCCTCGGCACCCCTTGGCTGGTCCAAGTCCTGGGGGGGCAGCACAGCTACCCCTTCCTGAAGGCGCTCCCCTGGGTGCAGGCCATGTCCTTATGGTATGGGCCATGTCCCTCCATGTCAGGATCAGGTCCCATCCCATGCAGGCTGTGGACACCCACATCAGGACCAAGTTACCCCTGCTGACAGGCTGTACGCCTCCCCCTCCCGCCCCAGCACAGGCCACAACCCCCCACCCAGTGCTGGCCGTGCCCTTGCCACAGGACCAGGTCCCCACTGTGACACGCCTCAACCCCCCAGTACAGGCCATGCCACACCATGACAGGCCCATGTCCCCCTTGCATCAGGTCTGAGCCCCCCAAAGTGTGGGCCATGCCCCCCCACGTCAGGACCAAGTTAACCCTGGTGACAAGTGGTACACCTCCACCCTACAGTGGAGGCCATGTCCCCCCAGTGCTAGTAGTGCCCCATCACAGGGCCAAGTCCCCCCATGACAGGCCTGAGCCCCACAGCGCTGGCTGTGCCCCACCTTGAAAGGCCTGAGGCCCCCCAGTGCAGTCTGGGCCCCACCATGACAGGCCTGAGGCCCCCCAGTGCAGGCCGTGCCCCACCATTGACAGGCCTGAGGCCCCCAGTGCAGGCCGTGCCCCACCATTGACAGGCCTGAGGCCCCCAGTGCAGGCCGTGCCCCACCATTGACAGGCCTGAG